ATTTTGTTAGAACTCAATGATTATACTAATTATATTTTAGATTTTTATATTTAAAATAAAATATTTATCTTGTATTTGACTATATTTATCTGTAATTAATTACACGAATTCAAACATGAATCTTTAATAAGTTGTATTCACACATAGTTTTTTTTGCAATCTTGCATCTTAAATAATATATACCAATAAACAGTATTTCATGTATAAAAAACGATTTTTAAAAGTTTTTATTATAATACAATATAGAGATTACATGATTAAAAAAAAACATTTGGCCTTTTCTTCATGTTCAATTAACTATTTATAAAAAATATTAAATATATAGGGGTCTTCTTTCATGAACTCCTTAAATCTTGATATCTTTAAAAAACAATGCATCGTTGACCATTTCATTATTTTATTTCATTTATGATTAAAATTTAACGTAATAATTAACATATATTTGTTTCACATGTACTTGGTTCATAATGAGAATCTTTTTGGTTTGTTTGTGAAACACAAAATACATATAAAAAAGTTTCACACTCCAAACTGAATACATATGAAACAAAGATATTGAAAAATAAATATATGCTGTTCAATATATTAAATATTAGAGAAATGAATAGAAATAGCTATTTCTAGGTTTTAGATTCACCTCTTAGCCAATTTCTCTATCTGAATTTTAAAAATCTGTAAATTAAATAAAGGTTTGCATGTGACACTTCCACCACTTGCAGAAGTGTTAAGACTAATTTACAGATTTAGTCATTGTACCTGTGGACCTAGTTCAGAAACTATTTTTTATACATTTTGATTCATCTACAAATTAAGGGATTGCTACTTATAGAGGTAATGATATTTTTATAATATTAAAATAATAATAATTAAAAGATTTACCAAAATTTGAAAATAATTATTTCAATTAATTTTCGTAAATACTATATTTAAATAGAAAGAAATCGCATAAAATAAAACCTTAAAATAAAAGTTTTGTTATAAGATTTTTTTTAAAATTTTTTTAGGGTTTTTAAAAAATTAAATTAGTCAGAGATTTAATAAGGAAAGAATGACGTGTCGTGTAATGATTGGTGAGCGAGACGGGGACATTTGATTCTATTTCCCCATTTTCATGTCCGCTCTCTTTCTCTTCTCTTCTCTTCTTTTCGACTACTCCACTCACAACCTAATTGCGCGTCACCTCCGTGGCCACCAACCACCACCATAAAATCAAGGTTTCAGACTCATAAATCACCTTCAACCACCGCGCCTCCGCCACCATAAATCACCTTCAACGAACGTCATCAATCATGAGCGACCGGACTTGGCCTAACCGATCAGAAGCCTCTCATTTCTTAACTCTCCCTTTCCCTATCAAAAATCCGATCAGAAAACACGAAAACACTTCAAAATCGACCGGAATCCAGCAATTCCGACCATCTTCATCCTCACGGCGGTCGGATCAGCACCGTGACTTTGCAGCGCTACCTAATGACGTGTTGACTAAAATTGCTGCCAATTTCAGCCTTCCGCACCTACAGACAGCTTCGTTGGTTTGCAAATCATGGAGAGACGGACTCCGGCCGTTGCGAGAAGCGATGCTGTTTCTCCGATGGGGGAAACGGTTCAAACATGGCCGAGGCGGTGTGAAGCCGAACCTTGAGAAGGCGTTAGAATCGTTTTTGAAAGGAGCTGCGCGTGGATCAACTCTGGCTATGGTGGATGCAGGATTGGTTTATTGGGAGATGGGGAAGAAGGAAGAAGGTGTGGCTTTGTACAGAAAGGCTGCCGAGCTCGGTGATCCTGCTGCACAGTGCAATTTGGGGATTTCGTATCTTCAAGGTATGCAAATTGTTTTTATTATTGTTGATACATGAAGATTAGTTCATAGTCGATTTCTATATGCTTCAATGTTATGAATAGGGGGTGTCTGGTTTTCTTATATTGACTTATTCCAGTTTGACACCGGTAACAAACACTTTTGATTGTTTGGATAAACAACTTATACCGGTGCCAAACCGGTAATAAGAAGTTTTTGAAGAAGTTAAACCATTCTAACTTCTAATAAGTTGATAAGCACTTTTGTAGAAAAGCATAAGTTGTTTCAAACAAGCATAAGTTGTTTCAAACAAGCATAAGTTAAACCATTCTAACTTATAATAGTTGTCTTTCTACATAATTGATCGAAATAGTCAAGATTTCGCAAGTAGCACTTACAATTTACAATATCCACTTTTTGACATAAAGTAGCAATTCGCAAGTCACTAAAGTGCTACTTGTGAAATGATGACGTGGAAGTGTCACTTCGCAGCTTCCTAGATTGTTGCTTGCTAAAGTTGTTACTTTCTAAAAGGTACAATGATACATGAAATAGTTGGTTTCGATTTGTGCAAATTTTCAAACATTTTACTTCAAAAATTGCAGCTGAACCACCTAACATGAAGGAAGCTGTTAAATGGTTATATCAAGCGTCTGTTGCTGGTTATGTCCGCGGCCAATACCAACTTGCGCTTTGTCTACATCGCGGTGGTGGGATGAACCAGAATATGTCGGATGCGGTATGTGTACATCTCATCCTCCGACCCTACTTCCAAGTAGTGGATTCGTTGAAATTTATGTAGTTTTTATTGTGTTTTTAAACAGGCAAGATGGTATTTACGAGCTGCAGAAGGGGGATACGTGCGTGCTATGTATAATGTATCGTTGTGTTACTCTTTAGGCATGGGGGTATCTCAAAACCATCGACAATCTAGGAAATGGATGAAGCATGCCGCCGATCATGGGCATAAAAAAGCTCAGTTTGAGCATGGACTCGCTCTCTTTTCGGTAAATACTTGAACCACAAACATGTCTTGTTTTTAAGCTGTTTTTTGAGGTTAAACATGTGTGTGTTGTGCAGGAAGGGCAGATGATGAAGGCGGTAGTGTACCTGGAACTGGCGGGTCGTGGCGGTGAGACGGCGGCAGCTCATGTGAAAAACGTCATTCTTCAACAGCTCTCACCACCTTCTCGAGAGCGCGCCTTTAGACTTGCTGACACATGGCGCGCTCTTCCATCATCTCGTTGAAGCCGCCCTCTTTGTGTTCAGAAACTTAATCAAAACGAAAGGTTTTTGTTTAAGAGAGAATTTCATTAACCTGAGCCTAAGTTGTGTTCTTCAACTCTCAATCTGTATATTGCCATTTCCATTTCATCCTTTTTTTCAACTTTGCAACTACTCAATCAGGAACCCTTTTTATTTATGTTCTGTGTTTAGACTTTTTGGCTTCAATTTCACATAATCCAGTCATATTACTCAAACTCTCCTTTGTTTGGTTTGATGAAATGGTTTTGAAGGATTTGGATTGAATCTTTGATTTATGTGGACGAACTGGTCGCTTGAATTTGATAAGAAGGTAGTTTGGGTTTAGGGTTAAAAAGGTAAATTGGTTTTCAAAGTAGAAATGAATAATTTATCCAAAACTCATTATTACTGGTTTGACATTATTATAAATATTTTTTTTTTATCTAAACACTAAAAACTATTTATTATCGATATCATACTTGAATAAATTAATAAACAGTTTAAATAAATAATCCCAAACAACACTTTCCTTTTTTTTTTTAAGTTGAAATATTAAAGCATCGTTTTCATCTAAATGTGGCCAAGTCAAACCACGTCACATGCCATTAGCAAAATGTACAATTGTCAAAATACTAAAAACAAGCCGATTTTTAATGTTTTTCATTATAAGAAAAGGAAGGGATAATTTTCATTCAAAAACCGCCTTCAAAATCCAAATAATTTCAGGTCTACTTTTAATCCTAACTCGAGAGTTGAGAGTAAGAATGGACCGGTCATCCCAGATCGGTCTCGGGTTTCAGAGCCACTTGTCCATCTTTAAATTCCATCTTGAGAGCGAGAATGGGCATGGAGGTGGTTTGTGTCCACTATTTGAGGGGGCGATATGAGGTATCAGAGTATCGGGAAATTGGAGATTGTCAAAAGGTAGTGTTTGATACGTAAACTGAATGAGACAGGATAAAACGAGACGAGAGGAGACGAGACTTGATGAAACGGGACATGACTAATTGTCTGTCCTATGTTTGGTATGACTACGATATGACGGGACAAAACTGTTAAAATGATCATATTACCCCTAAATGTTGTTCAATGTTATTTTATATCATATAATGATTGTAAATGATAACAAATCAACCAAAATACATTATACTTTGAGAGTATAAAAGTAATTTTATAATTTGAGGGTATAAAAGTAATTTTGAAAGGTAGAAAGCGTACCTGAAATGGAGGAAGAATGGAGGTTTTGTATTGAAATTTGAGGGTATAAAAATAATCTCACCTCATCATATTCTCTTTTTGTCTATGGCATGCCAAACACAGGACTATTTTCTTTGTCCCGTACCGTCTCATGTAGTCTGCATAGCCAACGCACCCTAAGGGTGTGCAAAAAATCAACCAATCCAGTTGAAACCAACTGATCCAATTAGAACCGACTGACCATAATTGGATATTCAATTGTAATTCGATCGGATCGGATTGAAAATTTCAACATCCAATTTGGATCGGTCGGTTCTCGTATGGCAGTCTAGAACCGACCAAAAATCGAACTGAACCGATCAACATCCAATTAATCATCCGATGTGCATCCAACTATTATCCAACTATCATCCAATTAATTTATTTTCAAATTTTGCTTACATCGGAATTTGTTTTATGTGTTGGTTCTAACACATATTAAAAGTGATTAATTAACTTATATCATTGTTTGAGGAGTCGTATGAGATGAAAATCTCATGTGCGGTTCTAGAATAGTGCACCTACATGCCTTCATCGATGTTATACTATTCTTTTTGTATCATTTTTTATTCAAACTTCTTGTTTTGTAAGATCAAAAAGGAATACTAACTTCTAAAAACAAATATATAAAGCAAAAGATCATGGAGTCACTATGCAGACCTTAACAAACCAAACTGGTGGCCATTATATAACTAACCATTAAATTGAAGTTAAAGGAACACAAGAATAATTACAGATTTCAATTATTTTGTATAGACAATGACCATACTATATATATATATATATATACATGTTCAACAAGAACATGCACAATGAATTCAGGGATGAATACCTGCAAATACCATGGCTAAGATCATCATTGGAGAAAGAGGGCAGCTCCGACCAGCGCCACCCACAGTGCTAAAGCTGCCCAGAAGGCTTGGTTTTTTCCCAACTCACCTGGCGGTCGCCATACCAGAAAGTCACCAAGGTAGTCTCTGCCCGAGGACACTTGATTGGTTGTGTTGATTCTTTCATCCTTGTCCTTGTTTTTATCACTCCAACTTCCTGCATAGCTGCATTTATAATAGATCTTCTCATCATCACCTTCCATGTTCATCACTAACAAACTTATCATTTGGGGTGCATTTGGTATGCGGACGGGACTGGATTTGACAAGACTGAATGGGCTAGAGCGAGCTAGGCGGGAGAAAGAATCCCACTATGCTATTATCCCAGTTGTTAACCAATGCATTGTCTAGAGAAGTAACAGTGACAGTAGATGAAGAGATCAAGGTATTATCCTATTCTTTATGGTCATTTAATATCTCCATCGTGTGGGTCCATTCATATGGATTACAAGAAACAAATATGTATTATAGGTATCATTTACTTGATGGAGAGAAAAAAAAGGCTAATCCACACAATGAACAATACTGAATGGAAGAAAATGAGCTCCAAAGTATGAAGCAAAGCTGAACTCTAAAGAGGTAACAGCCAATAAGGAGCAAAAGATTTTTCTCATGTTTGATAGAGATCCAGGGATTATAATTAAATAAGTCGTGAAAAAAGGGCTTGGATGGATGCCCTTTGTATAGGTTTGGTTGCTGGATACAGGATCCTGAGAGGTGACTCATTTTCCCCAGATTACAACCATATGACTCGCTACCCTTAAAATTCAGGCAGAAACATCATACGAACCAACTGATAGTGATATTGGCTAAATAACAACAGTATGGAGCTCAAACCAGTTGGGCGGTTGGGGGTGCCACCTGATCCTGAATCCTACAAGTGTGACATCTTTCAAGACATGTCCATACATCAGTCAACCCTAGAATTTGAAGTTTCCTTATGAGATTTTGACAAGACATCAAAGTATTTACTACAAATTAGTGGATTTTGTCGTACTTTAATCCGATCAATATGCACCAATAATGAGATATACAAAGAATAAATTCTTGATACAAAACTCACCTATCATAGCTGGAACCGATAAGTGGAATCGTAACCATCTCTTCCTGTGATATCTTAAGCTTAGGAGCTTGCAAGATATATCGCAGGTCTTTAGCCTGGCGTCTAATACTGACGCTAGGATGGCCCCTTTCTAGCTTCTGGTAAAGATCAATACAATCTTTGTGGCGGTTATTAGCTTCATAAGCCATAGCAAGCCATATCTGTATCTGGAAATACCAAAAGACCAATAAATTTCAAACCAGTCTGGAAGGAAGTTATTTCAATCAAACCCCAAAATGAATGGTATCAGACATCGAGTAACAAACCAACCTCACCACCAAACAAAGTGGGCCTTGGTATAATTGTGAGAGCACCTTCCAAGAACTCAATGGAGCGCCCATACATACCCTTTCCATAAGCCTTTTGTCCCAAGTCGAACATCAATTGAGCCATTTTCCTTCTCTCTGCTTGTTCCTTGGCAACCTACCAACATAACAAGAATTGCTGTGTTATTGGAACACAGTAACACATTGCGCTAAATAGAGACATAAACCTGCATATCTGAAAATCTTCGGAAATCATTCACCTTTCTAACTGAGCCGCCAAATTCTCAATGTTTCAGACTACAATTAAATTCAAATATTAGCAACAAGGTACAAATATCCATTTGGATCACAAATGGCATTCTTCTTTCATGTAGTTGGCAAATCCTTTGCCTAGTAAAGGGACTTAACAAATTTGCTTCGAAACTGCTTAGTTATAATTCTGCCATTAACTATATAGTTGCACACTGGATCGGATATTTTGGGCAAGTAAAGGTAACTAGGTTTTCTTTTCCAAAAATGGGAGAGATTGTACTTGAGCACAATACCAGTTAGGACTTGGTAGGTCATTCTCTAGCACAAACTTAAAACACACACAAACTTCAAATTTCCTCATATTTTATTGGACGGTTACTTCTACCTGAATGAAAGAACACTGATTTTATGTGTATCAGTGTATGCACTCGAATTCATTGATTTGGAATCATAATCTGAGCCAACACAGTTCAAAATTTAAACTAAATGAGCTTCAATTCCATTTTGAACAGAATCCATGCTCATAAACATAAAATATAGTATGAATCGATAAACACAGATAATGAACACAAGCAAAACAGCAACAGAATTCTACTAGTGTCCTCTGTGGCATAAATTTTGAGATCAGGAATCAGAAGAAACCTCACCTTTTCGAGCTCCCTCCGAACTCTCATCCTCTTCTGTTCCTCTGTCTCTTCCCTTCCTTCGCTTTCACCCTCACCTTCGTCTCCACTCTCACCCTCATCTCCCTCGCCACGACTCTGCAACTCCTCGGCTTTCTTCTCCAATTCTCGCATATCTTCGATCTCCTTCACTCTCATCCTCATCTCCTTCTCCCAATCCAACCTCTTCTTCCTCTCATCGTCGACGTCTTCATCATCCCCGTACCCATTCCCGTTATCCTCATCACTAGAACTCTCGTAATCGACTTCGTTAAACTTCGAATTAGCCTTCCTTCCGCGAACAACGCGATGTGGCGCTGTTGTCGCATCTTTCTCAAATTCGCTTCCGCCTTTCGACGGCAACGAAACGTAGAGGTTAGATATAGGCGTTACTGGATCTTTCTTGAACAAATTCAGAAGGATGTCGGAAGGGAGTAATCGTACTTTGCTGCGGTCAAGTACTGTGGTTCGAGGTGAAGTTACATCCAGTAATAGTGCTAGGTTTCCGAGAACCGCCATGCCGGAACCGGAGAAGACGAAGAGTATAACGGTGGAAAAGGAAGTGAGATATGGGTGGGAACAGGGATATTCAGTTGAGAACGTGACGATGATATTTCAGTTAACTCAAAAGACGTTTAAGTCCTTCGATCTGTGCAATATTTACATATAAAGGACGTTAAAAATATAGTATATCAATAAAAGTCCCCTAACTTTTAAACATTTCCATTTCAGCCTCTTAAATGTTCATTCTTGTATGTCTATCACTTTTACATTGAACTATTATGCTAATTATGGAATATGTGATACAATGGGTTTTTTTTAAATATATAATATTTATATATCGTAAATGAAACAAATAAACTCACGCATCATTCTCATATTTGGTGATGTTTGAACCACTGACCTCCTAGAAGGCCAGAGACTACGATACCTCATTTGTGAAAGTAACCATTCATCCTCTTGAGATCGATGAAATACTGATCCAACCCGCTATGCGAGCCGACTAATCTCAGGACGACCACCTACTTTGTGGGTAGCCCGGAGTCACCGCATTTGTATCTTTGTGGCCACAAGAGGATTTTTATTTCTCCTTAGATTTGAACTTGATATGTTCCAGACACTTTTGATCTTGGAAGCCCAAGTTTAAACCAATTCAGTCACCACCATTGTGGTTGTTGGTGCTTCTTTTGAAATCATGGCTAGGCGTTTTGATATTATCTTTTTCAGACCCCACTTCATGTGGGATTTAGTGGGTTCGCTTGAGTTTGTTTTGTTATAATTGTTAAAGTCTTGTACAAATGCCAAAAAGTTGTTTGTGGAATGAAAACTTCAGGGGGCTTTTGAAAACATTTAGAAGATGCAAAGGTCACAAGGCACGGAAGGGCAATCGAGTCAAAACAGAAAGTATGTGGTTAGTATTCGTTTCACGTCATGTTTTACGTTCTCGAAACGACAACGTATGGCTCCAGACAAACACGATATTATTTACATTCCCAAAACGTTGACGTATGTATAACTCCTTCCATCCCTCCCTACAAAGTACAAACCAATTCCACGTCACCAACAGATTAGCCGCTCGCGAGTCATTCGGCGACGATAACATTTCCCGTCCATAGCCATTTTTGTCCGCGAAAACGGCGAGATTCGAATCTACTAGCTTCAATTTCCATTAATTCCTCCTTGATTCAATGAACAATGGCTTCGATTCTTAGTAGTCATCATCATCCTAGCTTCATTTACTCAAACATTCATCCGAAAAAGCTCAATTTCACCACAACTCAACGGGTTCGATTCTCTTGCCGGAAAGCTAACAGAAGACTTGTTCACTTTAGTCCGGTAAAATCGGCTTCGGCTAATGGATATTCGTTACAGAATCATGATGATAGTCCCGAGGTTGCAGTTGCAGATGGAATGCGTACGGATTTCGGAGAGGATAATGTAGGTGGAGTATCGGAGAGGTTGCTGAGGTTTATTCGTTTAATTCCATCGGTGTTGCCAGGTGGAAAGTGGTGGAGCTTTTCTGATGAAGTGGAAATCGTGGCAAATGCGAAGCCGGTGACTTTGGTGCGGGCTCTTCAACGAATGTGGGGATTAATATCCAATGATCGTTGGGTTATCTTTGCTGCCTTTTCTGCCCTAGTTCTAACTGCGGTACTGCTCTTCGATCTTCTTCTTTCATCTTGCATTTCAGGCGTCGTTTGTCCTAATAACAATCTTACTGAAATCAGGGTAGAATTGGATAGAAACGAGGTAGACATTGCGATACCGATAGGGATTCGAGTTGCAGTAGTGTACTGTTGAACTTGTGGAACTACAAATCGTTATTCGATATAAAAATCGCTTTAGTTGCCAATTTGGTTTTAAGTTAGAACCCTGCAAAGATCCTTGAATAACCAAAACGTGCTTCCCATAAAATTTTCAGTGACAAATCATATTCTGTATGAAATAATCGTATCATGCTGTGATGCTAAACATGAGCTTTGGGTGTTTGCCACTGGAAATACGTGCACTATCTGCTGATTATATTTTCCTATTCGATGGCAAACACTTACCTGGCACCTCAAGTGCACTAAATGCCAACTACAATGTGTTGATTATTTAGTCTCTTTTCCGGTGCCACTAACCTAGATTTCGTTCTTATCATTCAGCTTACGGAGATCTGCATTCCTCATTTCCTGACAGCATCTATATTTTCAGCCCAAAGTGGGGAGACGATAGTGTTTCGTGGAAACGTGAGGCTATTGGTTTTCCTATGTGTTACTTCCAGTATTTGCAGGTTAAAACCTTGTATGGTCAAATCTTCCTCTTCTTTGAAACACAAACTAGTAAACAAATGTTAACTTTCTTTTTCGCTTCAATCTTTTTGATGGTTCATCTTATACATGACTCCCTCATTTCAAATTAGTTCAAGTAAGAAATATGCTTGACTTTTAACCCTGCTTGAAACCTTGAGCGATTATCCATAGCTTATAACTGAACTTGGTATGGTAGCTTGTTTAGTTCCATGACTATCCAAAATTAAATTGAACTGTTGTACATAAGAACCTTAATATCCTTAATAGCCCTTTTAAGTTTAATGAAAAGTTTCTGACATGTGATCTTTTATTTGAATTTCCAGCGGACTAAGAGGTTGCTGGTTTGGCATTGCGAACATGATTCTTGTGAGTTCACTTATGATGTGTATTTTCTTGCAAGAGTATTTTGTTCCATCCATCTCTTAGATTACCAAAAACATTGTATATACACCCACCCATGACTGTCCCATGAAATCGCATAATTTCTATAAAATCGGGATCTTGTGGACCAAAATTGTTATCAGCGATAAATTGTAATGATGGCTATGGACACACAAGTGACTTTAGCTTCAAAGTTTGCATAAGAAGGAGATGCTATAATTTTCATATTACATCCCAAAATAGAAATTGTGGCAATTTTCATGAGATAGATGGTCTATCACATGGTTGGTATCAGCCTATCAGGGATATAGCAGAAACTCGTAGCGGGAAGAGGGGATGATAAACTGGGAATACAAGTCTTATCACTCAGCCTCCTCCTCTGACATAGGGGGTACTAACCAAGCTGGAGGTTGATGATATCACAGCTTCAGTTACCATTAAATTGTTGCTCTATAACCAATGAAAAGTAAAGGTTAATTGTCAACTATCTTCAAAGGAATTGTGCCTTTGGGTTTATAATTTGATGAGTTTTGTTGAATTGATTTATTGATAAGTGACCATTTGAAATGGCTAACACATGTATGAATTTGGATCATTCTCTAGTACTTCATGTCAGCATGTTCAGAAAAAAATTATCGTCTGTGTTTCAGAAACCCTGTCCATGATAGATTTTGATCTTGGTTCTAAGTACTGATGCAACAGAATGTTTATAACCTATAGGTGAAACGGATGAGGGAAACGTTATACTCTACCCTTCTTCTCCAGGTTTGTAAATGATGTCTGTGTGAAGCTTTCTGAACTGCAGGATCATCATTAATCATTGTCATATTTCAGTGGATGGAAATGATTATCTGTAACTTCACCTTTGTCACAGGATATAAACTATTTCGACTCTGAAAGTATTGGTGATTTGACAAGTCGGCTAGGATCAGATTGTCAGCAGGTGTCACGGGTCATTGGGAATGATCTCAACTTAATATTACGCAATCTTCTTCAGGTGCTTCAAAGCAAATAGAAAGTGTCTGTGACCTTACTTCAAATTACAAAAATCTAATTTGAATATCTTGTTTCAGGCAACGGGAGCTTTGATCTACTTGTTGTTCTTGTCTTGGCCACTTGGCTTATGCACATTGGCCATCTGCTCTACTCTATCAATAGTTATGTTACGATATGGACAGTAAGATCTCGTATTTGTCTTCTAGTAGATTGACTATATGCAGACGCTTCTAGCAAACATATTTATCGATTAAAAGATCTAACAGTTTGATCTGCTCCTGAAATTAAGTTTACAGTTTAAATATTAACACACATTATAAATGCGACTGTGTAATCCGGAAGGTTACAGAGTAGTCCTTCTGGTCTGCTTTCTTTGTTCTTTTTTACTTTTTTTTGTTTTTGTTTTCTTCCCTCTTCAAATGTGCAAGGATTTTTATGCTTGATTTGAGTGAAGGTATTGGGTGAAATTTTGCCCATGGCCTTCTGTTTATCCTTCCATACTGATACTTTCTGGTGTAATCATTGCAAGACAGAGTCCTCTCTTCTGTTCATATAATTGATCCAATTTGAATTCTCAAATAAAAGTTAGCGTGTCCCTTTTTCTCTTTAGAGTTATTTTCGAGAGATGATAGTTTTAATTCCTGACTGCTTTTCATATAGGTACCAGAAGAAAGCAGCAAAGTTAACGCAAGAGTTCACGGCCTCTGCAAACGAAGTACTACAACAAAAATTAATTATGTTCCCAAAGAGTAATGCCCATATATTTGTTCTCCTTTATTTTAACCATCTAAATGTTGGAGCTTACTTATATAGGTTGCACAAGAGACATTTTCTTTGATGAGAACAGTCCGAGTGTATGGAACTGAACACAAAGAACTAAAAAGGTATACATTTTGGGTTTGCTTGGCTAAGTTTTCATTTGGTTGTATTTTCATTAGAACTAGAACTGAAGCTTTGTTTCATCTTCTGCTACGACTCTACAATAATTTATTTTGCACAAAGCATACATGTAGAGGCATTGGCTCATGCATACTTAAGGTTGAATTTGACATTCATTTACTTTATTTGCAAATAGGTACAACAACTGGCTGGAAAAACTAGCTGATATAAGCTTGCGAACGAGTGCTGCATATGGAATTTGGAATTTCAGTTTCAACATTCTGTACCATTCTACCCAGGTCATGCTCTGTCTATTCTTGCTAAAGATCATAAGTACTCTAGAAAATATTATATATATATATATATATATATATATATATATATATATTTTTTTTTTTTTTTCTTTTTTCTTTCATATATGCTTTGCGTCTCTAGACCAGTGGTTTCCCACTCTTATTTGTATTGGCCACAAGACCATGGCTTGTGGCTTTCTGTGATTTTCATATCACAACTAGAGTGTGTGTTTGCAATCATTTCTGTGTGGTTTAGGAGACAATTTCACTTCATTTGGCAACATGCCACCATCTTGTCGTAGTGGTATCAACACGAACAACCATATTATGCCTACCTGAAAATTTGCAGGCCCAACAACAAGAAGCCATTTGCTACTTTGGTGTAGGGTAAAATGATACCCTTTGGAAAGTTTCTGATTCTAATAAGAAATTTGTCAAATTACACAGCTTCAAACTTGTAACTCAAACTGAAGACTTCCTTATTTGACACATGATCCCACAATGCCGAGTCTGTTGTTTTATGTCTATTGCTAGATCAACATCAGTATGCTACTGTTATTAAAATCCATTACATGTCATATGGCTCGGAGATATCAAAAAGCTGGCTTTAGCCCCTCAGTAGTTTATGTGCAAGATCTAGAATTTAACTTCTGCTTTACTTGAACGTCTAATTTTATAGGTTATTGCTGTGCTGATAGGAGGAATGTCTATTATGGCTGGTCATATAACAGCTGAGCAACTTACAAAGTTCATATTGTACAGTGAATGGCTGATTTACTCTACATGGTTTGTGGGAGACAATTTATCATCTTTAATGCAATCTGTTGGGGCAAGCGAAAAAGTATTCCAGATGATGGATCTTGTGCCTAGTGACCAGTTCATGTCCAAAGGCAAGCAATTCCTTAACTTCATGATCAATTCATTAAGATTTGCATTTAAATCGGAGTTTGCAAGGTTCACTTGAACAATGCCCAGATTTGATGTTCAGCACTAGTATAAATATTTGAGATGGCATTTATAAACAAACTCTCTTGTTCATCTTCTTGATTGAATTTGTCGCTTCTTGCTTTTGACATTTTGTCCGATGGTTCCAGGCTTCCTGCACTCAAAACAGTGCTTAATGTGGTTATACCCATGGTGATAGGAAACCCGTTTCTAACCCACATCACCACATAGGGCAATTGACTATATTTGAGATCTCTAACAGCGTCGAAGTGCAACTAAAAAAAATTCATTTCATGCCCAGTTTCTGTCAAAAAGAAGAAATTTTTTGAGCCGGGAAGTAGTGATATCTACCTTTTTTTTCTCATTTTTGTTCCTTGAGAAGAAACTTCCAAGAGAAAAAAAGAAAGAAAGAAAATAGTAGCCTAATTTGGAAGTTAAACTGCATGGAATCTTCCAATCTTGATGATTACTTCACTAGCTGAGCTGAACTGATCGTGCATACTGATGTGTGGCAGGATCGAAGTTGCCAATCTTGAAGGGCCGAATTGAGTTTGTGAACGTATCATTTAGCTATACATCAAGGGAAAAGGTACGCTTCCAGTTTGTCTCATATCACAAGCAGGGTTGGGTTCCGTTGAGAATGGAAGTTATGGTGAGGAGGGTAAGAAGAGATCTCCGCCCTTGGTTCAATCCTAATTGAAGATCAACAGTAATGAGATGCACTGGTTCAATTCCCGTATCAAACACAATTCATGGGGTGGGGTGAAAATTAAAGTGATCAACGGTCCAGATCCCTTCTTACGCTTCTCATCTTAACACCTAATCTCACACGATCTTTCGTCTCACAAGCATCGGTCCATATCTGTACTGTGGGGCATTCTCTTTCCCTTACCAAAATGGATAGAGTAGGATTCTCCATGGACAGGTTTATTTTAATGTCATTCCAGTACTTTCAATTTTGATCCATTGAAGACTGATTTGGCCAATTTTAAAATGCATAAAACGGGTTAGTTGCATGTTCCAACATGGTAATAGGCTCAAAACTTTATGTCCATTCAGATTAGTTCCCTTTTGGGCTTAGCTATAAGTAATTTATTTTGATATTATGCACTGATATTTAATTATGTAACTACTATTGAAATGCAAAGAAGTCATTCTTGTAACATTTCAACAGGTACATGTACTAAAAGGCATAAACCTTGCACTGAATCCTTGTGAAGTAGTTGCAATTGTAAGTAGGTCTGATCCTAGCTGCCTAATTTTGTTTCTTCTACAACTACCTCAAGAATTAAATCCCTTTAATGATGTTCTTTAGGTTGGTCTTAGTGGTAGCGGGAAAAGCACGATAGTAAATCTTTTGCTCCGTCTCTATGAACCAACAAGTGGTCAGGTAACCTTCCTTTCTCCCTAAGATGGTTGTCCGTTTAAACTTAGAAACAACGTGATATATCATTTGAACCTTTTGTACAAACCTTGCAACATTCACATTACACTAGGGCAGGTTCAAATAAGAACTATAAATATTTTGAGAACTTGGGAACCAACTATTCATGTTTTATTCATGACGAATGTCGTGATAGATATTCATGATGAAGATAATTCATAATGAAAATACATGATATCATGATAAATGTTGGAGTCCCACATTGACTAGACTTTGACCATTTCTTCTACATATATGTTGGAACCTCCCCTTTCTCTCAAGGGCTCTTTTGGAGACTGATTTGGGGATTCCACATATACTCACATGGTATCAGAGTCAAATGAAATAGTTGGTTCTCTAGGTTCTCAAAATATTTATGGTTCTCATTTGGACTTTCCTCACCTTACACTAAAGTGTTTTACTTGCTCGTGTAGATTTTGGTTGATGGACATTCTCTAAACGATATGGACATCAAGTGGCTTAGAGAAAGAATTGGATATGTTGGACAGGTTTCCTTTCTTATAAATTCCACATGAAATGACTTTTAGGATCAGAAAAAACTCTTTCATTGTTAGTTATGTATTTGGAACAGGAACCTCGGCTCTTCCATATGGACGTGAGATCGAATATAGCATATGGATGTACAAGAGATGTAAGTCAACAGGATATTGAATGGGCAGCCAAGCAGGCATATGCTCATGACTTCATTTCCTCCCTACCTGATGGCTATAACACAATCGTGGATGATGATTTGCTTAGTGGAGGACAAAAACAGCGAATTGCAATTGCTCGGGCAGTTCTTAGGGATCCATCCATTTTGATACTTGATGAAGCTACTAGCGCTTTGGATGCAGAAAGTGAATACAACATCAAGGTATATACAGAAACAATACATCAAGGTATATGTAGAAACAATTGCTCTATTCTTTGGGGTAGATGTCAGGTCTACATACATCTTACCCCCAGGTCCCACCTCCATGTTGCATTCAGGGTTGTTTGGTTGGTTTTTCATTAAGAGCCTGCTTGTTAGCAGCTTAATGTTCTTAATGAGACTCACAGCTTATTCAATCAGCTATACATTGTTTGGTAGTGGCTTAATGATATAGAATGTGGCTTATTCAGTAAGCTTCTAAGGGAGAGCTTTATGCAGAAAGCCAAGTCTTTGATCTTTCCTTCCCAATTAAAAGAAGACTCTCCTTCCATCTATGAAAAAACTCTTCCAAACAAAAACCTTCTCAATCTATACAGACAGATTAATCTACACAGACAGCTTTATCCATACAGGACTTAATGGAAAACCAACCAAACAGCTCCTCTTGTATGGATATAGTTGTCTTTGTGGATTAAGGTTTTTATTTGGGAGGGTTTTTTCAGAGATGGAAGAAGCGTCCTTTTTAATTGGGAGTCTGGAAAAGACTTGGCTTTCTGCATAAAGCTCTTCCTTAGAAGCTTACTGAATAAGCCACTTTCCATATCATTAAGCCACTACCAAACAATCACGTATAGTTGATCAAATAAACCGTGAGTCCCATTAAGCTGCTAACAAACAGACCCTTTGCTTGGTTTGTTATTGTGTTTCGACGAAGCAACATGTTTCAATAAATTTGGAGGCTGGGTTGCATTTTGCAAGAACCTTTGGTCTTTTGCTTATTGTATTCCCTGATCATGTAGGGTGTACTTCATGCTGCTGGAGATAACTTCAAGAGGACTGTCATAATAATCGCACACAGGTATGTATCCCAGCTCCATAAGAGGGAAAATTTCAAAAATCCACTTTGAGCCTCTTGATTTGTGGTCAAAAAGGCTGATCGATGAATCATGTTCTGCAGGCTTTCCACCGTACAAGCTGCAGACAGAATAGTTGTCATGGACCGTGGCCAGATCATCGAGGTATGCTTCACAACCATCATTCACCTTAGATGTGGGAATCCTTCACTTCTTTATTTGAACTCCTTTGGAATTCCATTTTCAATCTTGGCCACTAAATTTGCAACATTAGGATTGGCTATTTGTCAAATATCTAAAATACCCTTAATAAAGACGAAACAAAAGAGTCTGATATACCAAGATCAATGGGAAATTGACTGAAATAGCCAATCCCGTCAAGAGGTTTCACTTTTTAGCCACTTTTGTACCTCATTTTGGCTTTAGCCATTTGTTACGCGTAAGCCTTGCGCATATGCTCAAGGTTTGCTTTCTGGAAGAAAAAAAATCCTTGCATATTTATGTGTAACTTTATTTTTTTGCACAACTTTTTTTCATTTAAAAATAGGTGGCTAAAAGTCAAAAATTATGCGTAACTTTTTGACTGAAAAACAAACCTTACGCATATGCATAAGAAATGGCTAAAAGTCCAAATGAGCTACAAAAGTGGTTAAAAGGTGAAACCCCTTAATGGGATTGACTATTTTAGTCAATTTTCCCGAGATCAATGGCATTGATTTAAAAACAATGATGATCGGGGGGGATTTAATAATGGCCTAGGGGGTGCCCGTGCTCTTGCTTTATCGTCTTGACGCAATTGAAAAAAAATAGAGGTCTTAAAGGACCACCCGTTTTAATTATATAATAATGGCCTATGATTTGTAATTCATTGCTCTTTTCAGCCTTATGATTCACAATTTATTGTTGTTTTGGTTCTTGTAGTTTATAATTCTTTATTATTTTCGTCCCTTTGTATTAAAAGATAGAAATTAGTCCAAAGATGAAAAAAGAAATAAATCGCAAACCATAGGGACGAAAATTGCCATTTTTAAACCACATGGACGAAAATCATAATTTACTTCATATGATATTTATATATTGTAAATATACTCACGCACACTCCTGACCTTTAGTGTGGTTTCCTTTTGGGAGACTGAGCTCTGTCGGTGACCCAGATATCAATGGGTCAATGACCATTTGGTTGTGAATACTTAATTATCAGTAGCTAAATCGAAACCAACCCACCCTCCTTGCTTGTGAATTTAGATGGGTAATCACAAAGAACTTCTCCTTAAAGATGGCTTGTACGCACGATTAACCAGAAGACAAGTGGATGCCGTGGGATGACAACGGAACGTATGACTTGGGATCGGAATCCTCATAGATTTATAGTTAGACAATAATACATTTTAATAGGCATGGAATGCAAATCTTTCAATTTGGACAAGAAGATAGGTGTTATCATGGCATGGAATGCAAATCTTCAATTTGGAGAAAAATGGCAAGGGAAGAGAATATGCCCTTTCAAGCTTCAATACCCATTCATACAACAAGATTAAATGTGTACTTATGGTTGAATTCTAGCTTTGGAAATTCATCATAATGAAATGGTGTAATTGTTTATATAAGGTCTTATTGGTCTTTAAATGAGTAGTTACTCTTTTTGATTAATTTGGATATCCAACTCGTTATGCGAGCCGACTAATTCCAGAGCGGCCACCCGCTTTGTGGGTAGCTCAGAGTCATCGCATTTGAATCTCCATGGTCACAAAGGGATTTTTATTCATCATTGGATTCGAATCTGAGACCTCTAGACACTTTTGACCTTGGAGCCCATTTTTTGTTTAAACTATTTGGATTGGGTTTTTTGACTTTTTGTATTGCAAAGTGACATTTTTTCCAGGAAAAAAAAAAACTCGAGGAAACAATGTAGTTTTCAATAATAAACGATCTTGGACAAATTATGAAATACAACCGTGCTTGCAACATTATGGATTTTGTGGGGTTCGGAGTTGGATTCTATATCAATTTAGCGTTTGATTTAAAGGAAGATCCATAATTTTAATGAAATCCCATAAACATTGGATTTAGAAAATCCGAGTAGTTGGTATTTATGGAATTTGATAAGATTTGTGTATAATAATGTTTTAAAGCATTTTAAAAACAATCGCTTTGTAATAATTAATTAGTAAAAGTAGTTTAATGATTTTTATAATTTATTTGTATAAATTATCTATAAAAATTGGGATCAATTCATTCCAAGATTTATGAATCGAACACATCAAAAATTTCAAGAGGACGTTTACTTATATACTTATCCGTTAAACGTCTACCGGTAAAATTCAACATTATTGTTTACTTACTGGGTAAGATTTTATTCACCAAAACGCATCTTATGCAATAATTTATCCCGGTAAGCGCTAACCATGGTAAGAGTCGCCGTCCTCACTTACCGGATAAGACTCTCGATTATTGTTTTCACTCTTAACAGGTAAGATTCTTAGTCCTTGTTATATTCATCCGATAAAGTAATGACTTGGTAACTACTTACCTAGATAAGTATTTAATAATTCTAAAAAATTCAAATCGTTCAAAAACATTTCTCCAAATGCTCCCTTGGTTTCATAATAGTATTAGTATGACTTTCTTTCTTCTTTTTATTTGCATTAAATAAATATGATTTTTGAAATGAAAAGTCAAGTGTATGGTTATTTGAGTATAATTAAATCTGTATTAGATTATTTCCAATATATTTCTTTAAAATAGAGATTTTGTGAATTTTTATTACAACAGATTTTTTAAAACATTTTTTAAAATAGAGAAAATACGAGAAAGGTGGTGAAATTTTCCAAATTTAGAGAATTCTCTCTAAAAATGATTATTTATAGAGAATAAATTATTTTTTATTATTCTACCAACGAGAATCTTTGAATTTAAATGTATAGAAGATAGAAATAATATTTTATTATAAGCTTTGAATATTTTAATAATACAATTCATATTGTAATCTCCAAAATAGAGAAGCTGTTGTAGATGAATATAAATTTTCTTTAAAAATTTTGACCTTTAATTTTTATTTTGAAAAATATGTTGGAGATGAGCTTATGCAATAAGTTATGCCTATAAGAACATCTCCAATAGATTATCCAAAATAGATAATTAAAAGTCAAATTTAAAAAGAATTACTTCAATTCTTAACAGTTCTCTATTTTGAAGATTATAGTATTGATTACATTGTTAAAATATTCAATACAATTAATAAAATAGTATTTTTTTTCTCTCTCTCTTAAATATTAATTTCATGATTTCTCATTGATAGGAAAAAGAATAAAAATTAATTTTTATTTTCTAAGTAATTATTTTTGGAAGTTTTTTTAAAATTTGTAGATTTTCACCATTTCTATCATATTTTTCTTCATTTTAGTGAAAATGTTTTAGAGAATCTGTTGAAATAAAAAAAATCTTTATTTTAAATATTACTAGAAGGATACTCGTACAATGTAGCGAGATACATCTCGATATCAATGTTTTGTTTTGCTTATTTTTGTCTCCGTCGATGTCATAATACAATTTTATGTGGTTTTGAGAAAACGATAATGTTTTTATTTTTGAATAAAATATAAATATGAAAATATCATAAAAATTTTAAAAAATATATTTGTATTAGTACCAAACTAATTATTTAAAATTTCTTCTTTTTTTATATATTTCTTTAATTCAATTTTCTTATTTTTTGTTTGATAATATAACTTTTTATAGCTATAACAATTAAGTATTTTGTTATAACTCAGTAATTATCCTAATTATATTTTAGATTTTGTATATTTAAAATGAGATGTGTATCTTGTATTTGATTATGTTTATCTACAGTTAGCTACACAAATTCAAACATGAAACTTAATAAATTGTTTTACGTACAATTTGTAATCTTGAATTTCAAGTAATATAAATCATTAAACAGTACTTTGTACATAAAAATGGTTTTTAAGAGTTTTTATCAAATGTTTTATAATATAGTATATATATGATTTTTTAACACGCTCATTAAGATATGTATAAGGTTAGTTGTATTGTACCATGTACCAATCACCTTTTCACTTTTGGTACAATACATAGTACCACGATGATCTTTTCCTTGTACCGTGTACCAATCGACTTTATACTCTTCGATGTAATAGCAATGTCGACTGAAAAAAAAATTAATATCAATTTAACCACTGCAATTGATATTGATGTTAATTTGTTTGGTTTTGTATCAGGGGGCGGACGTAGTGTATAAGATACGGTGACACAAGCTACCACTTTGTTCCTCCGTTGTAAGGTAAAGAAAACCTGGAGTCGTCAAAAGTATCATATATGTTTTTAAACTACAATAATAACACAAATTTGTCTTGACATAGTTGGTTTGGACGACCTTTCTCCCATTCAAAGCGCGGTCTGAATCCAGTTTCAATTTGCGATTAATTACTCGAATACAAGACTTCACATACGAAAAGTAAAGAACTAACCAACAGATCAATGATGATTTTTGAAAGTATCCATAATTTAGTAAACATATAGTTAAATGGTGCCACCATTTAAAAAAAAAATTCGTAGGTCCACCTTTGTTTTGCACAGTTTTGACACCTTATAAATGTGAGAGTTATAACGTCTATAACAATTGATACAAAAACCACAAAAGTTGTGACGTAGTGGCTGAGGTCTAGGGAATGTGGTGGAATATCTCATGTGTTATGGGTTCGGTTTCAAACGTCCACAACAATTGTTTTCATTAATATTATCGAGATTGATGTTTTACAATCGAGATTAGTCTAGGCATAAGCTGAAAACCCTTGAAAAAACAGTGAATGCAAATGAAAATAAAGAAAACTAGAAAAGGGACTGATTTGTAAAATTTAAAACTAGAAGGAAGTGCATGTAACTTTATACAAAGGTTAAGGGAAATAAGTGTAATTTACTATAACTATATGCTTCTTCCGCTGCTAAATTTCTCGTTACCCGTTCTCTCCATCGACGCCGTTGCCCGCGCCTCACACCGGAGAATACCCTTCTCCGACGCCGTTTTACCACCGACCACCGACCGCCGACTTCTTTCTCCGTCTACCTCCACCGGAATTTATTCCACAACCCTCGTATTATAAACAACAAAAAGTCTAAAGAAAAAGCCCTAATATACTGTAAATGGACTTCCGATACGCGAGGCCACCGCCACCGCCACCTCCTTCTTCGGATCTCCACCAACCACCACCACAGCAACCAGTTCCTCCACCTCCAGGACCTTGGTATTCCGGTCAGTTCCAGTACCACTCGCCGTCGCCGCCTCCGCCACACTGGGCTCCACAATCACAGCACTCCGATCACCACCTTCCTCCTCCTCCTCCTTATGCTGCCGCTCCCCCTCCCCCTCCCCCGATGCAATATTCTTCAAACCCTTACCCTCTTCCTCCTAGACCTCATATGCCGCCACCGCCACTGCAACCTCATTATCCTCCTGTCAATCAGGTAACCCTAGATAAGACTGTACGTGTCTTTCAGGAATGGTCTTTGTCGAAATATTTCCATTACGGAGGTGTTCACGTATTGAGTTAAAATTTCGTTTACTTTTTCTGTTCCAATTTTTGAGCATTTGCTGTTTATTGATTGTTGATGATAGGAGTGGAGTAATGCAAACTGGGGTCATCAAGGTTGGGAATATTCAGGTTTGAATTTATCGTTATTGTCCAAACAGCAGTTATCTACTTTCATGCTGCCTGCATCCTTGTCGTATTATGCACATATGTTTCATGAGTTTAGAAAGTTCTGTGTGATAGTTGACACTGTTTACCATCTTCACTTCAAACATGCTTCCACCAACAACGAGTGGGAATAGTTTCAGAACTCCTGTATCCCAGTATGACACCTATTCTTAGAAAGATATCATGACGCTATGAATGAGTATTACCACGTAATGAAAGGAAATTTAACAAAGAGATATCTGGTTCGTGTTGATTATCGATTTTAGGTGCTGTTGACATTTATTTATGATATTAGCAGGGTATATACATGTATATATTTAGATTTGAGCCACCCTAAGTGAATTATATCTTGGTCTAGTGATCAGAGTAGCAAACGTATGCTGGTTGTCATCTTAACATTTTCCAATTGCAGCGCCTAACCAAAATGAAGATGATTGGGCTGCCAGGGCTAGAGCTTGGGCAGCTTCAAAAGTTGTAACTGATGATCAGCATCAGCATTCACAGTTAGTGCCCGCCAGTCGATCAGAAGAAATAAACTATCAGGATCAGTATTCACAGAATTTGGAGACTCCTTACACGGAGTTTCAGCAACATTCGCTTCCTCCATCAAGCTATCATCAGTATCCATCTTCATTTGCACCCCCACCTAGGACGCCTGCAAACCCTTTGCCGGAGCCATCATCATTTGGCTCTGGATATGCCCCAGATGGACACTTTTCATATACTGCCAGGGATGGAAATTTGCGTGACTCAACTGCTGCATACCCTCATCAAGAACCTGCACCTACAAGTTTATTAGTTCACCAGCAGGAGGTACCTTCTAGTTATTCTTCTGTTGCAGGTAATGAGTTAACTGATGTCTTTGATATAGCACGTGAAGCTTGTTCGAAGAACTGCTACCATAGAACTTGCATTCAATAATTATCTCCCCTTTCCTAGAAGTACATTGTCGCTAAAAGCTTGTTAGTTCATCATCATCTGTCCTTTTATATTATTTCTTTTTTGCTGCTCTAAGTGCTGAAGTGAGTTGTGAACAGCATCATTTCAACTTTTACCTCAAGTTGCAAAATAGATCCGAAGAACTAAGAATAACATGTAACTGCAAAACTACTGCCTTGTTTGTTCAGTACTCACATATCTGCATCCTCATAAATGTTAAAGAGTCATGTTTCTACTCCTGTAGGACAACCTATTTCTAGACTTAAACTATAAAAAACCTTCTATTAAATGTGGAGAAGGCTAGAAAGAACATAACTATGACAGCTTGTGGTCATACAAGCCTATCCCTTAATTTTTGGAAGTTGAGTTCATGATTTGCATACATATGACTGTATTATGAGGTGGTGTGAAAGACCAAGTGTTTTTTAACTTGAAATTGCTTGAAAGGACAATATTCTTCATATAATGTGGTTGTTAACTTGTTTTTCGAATATCGTTGGTGATACGGTTGAACATGCTTTCTGACTGATTGGAAGATTAAGCAGTTCCTCGTTGCTTCCTCTATTTTATTTTCAATTTCGACTTCTGGTATTTTTTTTCTTTTGTTTTTTGTTAGGTGGGTGAAGGTAGTGGTCTGCTAATAGGAATGCTTTAAATTATTTTATGGTTAATAAATTTGGATGTACCTGCTAATAAGATTATGCACAGCTGACTTAAGACCGACAATGAATTTGCTATTTGATTGACTATCTGACATGAGAACTGTAATTTTCTCTGGCATGGAGGAGGTAGCTTCATCTGCAACAGAGATCGGTTTAACTAACATGATCTGATGTGAAACCGAGGACATGACTGGCAACATGTCAGTGTTAAGATTATTCTCTGGTATATGGAGGCATACTCATAATGAACTACAACGTCATCATGCATTAATTAAGGACTTCTAACCCTTCTTTTGGAACGAAGGCTGTTGAAGTATATGATAGCCTTGTAATGCACCATGAGGAAATGTTGTAAATATATCATGTTCCATGTGAAGGAGCTTATGTTGTTGTACTCTACACATCTGTTCGACGATTGTTGTTTAATTGAGGAGATTTTTTCAGGAATGTTGTATGAAAATTTTAGACGTGTTTTTTTTGCCTTCTGACTTGATTAAGCTCCAAGTCTGACCAAGTAAGAGGCTTGCTCATGATGCTTGTTGATTTCTCTATGATAAGCTCTCATTGGATTTTACAGAACCATATTAAACGAATTACAGAGTGGTAAAATCTTAATGGGTTTGAACAAGATCTTAATGCGTAAATCTTCTTACCCCCTTCTTCGGGTGGGATATATAGGGTTCGTTTGGTTTGCTCTGGTCTTAGCGCCTCTTAAATTGACCATCATGCTTCTTTCTGATTTTTTATCTGATAAGCTCTCATTGGCTTTTAACTGAACCAGATTGAGTGGGGTTGCACAAAATTAATGCTTCTTACTTTACAATATTGTTAAATTGGCCTTTCTTAGTTCACTTCTTTTTGCTGAGTTACAGATGCGTTATTCTTCAATTTTGTTCTATTTATTTTTCATTCCTCCACTTGTTTGGGTGTGGCCACGCAAAATCAATTTCTACTAGTATTACAGTTACCTTACTTGTTTGTCAAGATTGAAGATGATCGATCTATGAAGATGGGGTAGTATTCTTGAATGGTGGTTTTGCAGGAAATATTGCCTGAAGAAACTAGAAGAGAGAAGGAGTAAAATTTGTGATTCTTTTCTTTTTCCACTTTATCATTGGGAACTGAACTAACTTGAATAACTGGAAAATATTACTTGTAACGTATGTGTTGCTAAAGGACAAGCAACTTTTGGTAAAAATAAATAATTTTGAAGAAACAAACATCAAATCATAAGAATTCGATATTCAGTATCGGGACACTTCCTAGTTATTCAGGATCACATGCTTTCAACACTTTGAACATTCCCTTATGCTAACGGAGTAGGGGAAGTCTGTATTCTCTTCTATCAGAAAGTTACAGCACTTCTCTAATCTCTAATATACCTTTTCAATCAATATCAATTCAAGACTGCAAGTAAGTTAACAGTTCGGTGGCTGACTTCTCATTTGAATGTCAGGAAAAGAGGAGGTGAGAGATATGAACGGGAAATTTTATCAACCATCACATATGCCTTTTGCTTCCGCTCCACAGTACCAAGTTCAGCAGTCATTATCTCCTAGTGATAGATCAATTTCCGTTGAACAGCCTCATTATGCATTTAGCAACCCATCTGCTGAGCCAACAACTGATCTTAGCAATCAGCCTTTAGATTTTGGGCCAAGGTTCGGTCATGAACATGACCCATTTGGACAATCCAAATACGGTAACGAGTCTGGTGGTTCAATAGGGGCAATATCCACTGGTACGGCTATGCCTTCAATTAATGCATGGACTTCGTCTGCTGCACCTGGAATGCCTTATCCTTCTATGCCTCCAGTTCATCCAACAGGGCAACAGGTTTTGATCCTTGGTCTCTGATATTCTTGCAGCTTATTGCTGTCATGTACATGAACGCTAATTTTTGTTTTGTTTCAACAGGTTGATCCTTCAGTAGGTGTTCCTTCTCCAGTTTCCATGCACTCGGCACCTTTATTTGGGAGGATTACTGGTTCAAGTTTCCAACCAACTATGCCATCTGCAAGCTCAACCTTTCCCATTGGGACATCAAATGCATTTCATGCAACAAATGCTTTCCCTGGTGATACATATGGAACCCCTGCGTTTCCTGAGCGCCCTAAAAAGGTATTGGAGCAAATCAAATCATTTATGCTCTATTGGGTTGTTCTCTTTATCTATATCTGAAACTGGAAGAATTTTCAGGCTTCAGTGCCAAACTGGCTCAGAGAGGAAATAATTAAGAAGAAAGCAGTCATCGGAAGTGCTGCCCCCGAGCTTTCCAGGCAGGACCCTGAATCTAATGAAGACGAAGTTATGGACCGCCCTCTTGGGAAAGGAGATCAGGCAGATGGAAAAAGCGTCGAGTCATCAAGGTTAACAGAAGAAGAGGATGATGACAAGGTTCTATTCTACATATGCATGATAAATTTGACTTATATATCTTATTATAGTTTTTGTGTATTATATTAGAAATGTTGACAGAGTCATGAGCGGTTTCGGGATTACTTTATATATCTCTGACCAAACTAACATATGCCTTCGCTTTTCCATATAGGATTATGTCGAAGCAGCTAGAACTGCTGCAATAAACCAGGAAATAAAGCGCATCTTAACAGAAGTTCTTTTGAAGGTGGTGCCATATAGATGCTAATTATTTGTTGATGTATTTGTATTTGTATCACAGAGGTTATTTTTATTATTACTCCCTCCATCACTTGACAATTGCAATAATTCCCATCTATCAGTCAAATGCCCAAATACACTTGCTCATTCAAGTTCAATCAAATTGTGTGGACCAGGACCCGACACAAGTACCTTTGTAATAATTACCATGGGCCATGGGGGCACGCAAGTAGTCTTGAATTGAAAGTCATTCAGGAAATGGGAATGTTGCAATTCTCATAGGACATCCCTAAACATGAACTTGCCATTTTCTTGGGACGGAGGGAGTATTCTTTTTCTTGATGGTGCTTGGTACTAATTAGTTTGTTGCATGCTTTTGATCAGGTCACAGATGAACTTTTTGATGAAATTGCAACAGAAGTTCTAGATGAAGATGATCTTAATGCAGAAGGTTCTTGGCATTATTTATTACCTTATTTTTTCATTTCTTTTGACAAGTTATGAAGTCCCTTATTACCTTTACGTTCCATTTTGTTTGTACGATTGGATGGTATTTGGAGGGATTTGGAATTCAATTCTATTCCAATCTCATGTTTGGTTTGAAGGATTGCTTGGATATGAAATCCCGGATTTCATTGAAATCCCACAAACATGGGATTTAGAAATCCCATGGGGTTTGTTGGTATTTTACGGGATGTCGTGGGATTTGTGTGTAATATTTTTTTTAAAATATGTTGAGAACATTTGTTTTTATAATAATCAATTAATAAAAAGGTAATTTAATTATTTTTATACTTATTTTTACAAATTATTTATAAGAAATGGAATTTAATTGCATTCCAAATCCTACAAACCAAAGACATTGAAGATTCCAAATCCTTCCAAATCCCTCCAATTCCAAATCCTTCCACTAAATCCAAATCCCTCAAAACCATTCCATCAACCCCCCCTAGTGTAATTTATCTAAGTGTTGATGTGTTTGTCTTTTTGTGGGTATGTAGTTGAGCGTAAGGCTATTGCTTCAAGTGATATAATATCTCAATCTTCAGCAGCAGTTCCAACTCCCAAGTCTTCCGCAAAGGTTCTAATTCCAGGCAAAACCAAAGGAACTGATTTGGATGATGTTAGTGGGAAGTCTAGTTCCAGCTCACCTGGAGATGTTCTAGGACTTGGTAGTTACGCTTCCGATGATGACGAAGACAAGGAAGTTCAGAACTTACCTATTCCATCTTCCAAAAGTAGTAAGCCACTGGTGCACCTGGCTGAGAATGGCAGTTCACAAGTAGATGGCAATGTGCGTGGTAAGAAGTTTCTAGATGAAGAAAGTGATTCGCATGGAATGAGCCCAAATGGGGATGTAGTTAATCATGGTTCTGTAGGTAGCGAACTTACTCGTAATAGGGTTGGTGCTGAACCTTCTCAGACAGACTCTCTGACTGAAGAATATCATAATGATAATTCCAGTGGTGATAAAGTACCAGATAGGTCCAGTATTTCGAAGTCAAAGCAGAGTGTAGGAGACAAGGGTGTCGGTAAACATGAACTTTTAATTGAGGGTCTTGCTGCCAAGAATCCATTACCTGATGATTCACAAGGTAGGAGCCCAAGAAATGGATCAGAGAAGAGTGGTAGTAAAAGAAAGTCTGCTAGTAAAGACTACAACGAGGAGGTGGAGAGCGGCAAGGACAAGATACATACGAAGGTAGATGATGATAGTAGGATTCAGGATGAGAGACACGTAAAGAGGGTGAAAAAGGATGATCAAAATGGCTCTAAACAGAAAATAAAGGAGCGAGATTCAGGGAAAAGGGTCAACAAGGCTGAGAGTAAGGATGATAAAAAAGAGATAGACAGGGACAGAAGATCCCAAGCCAAAGAAGATGGCCGGAAGCAAGAAAGATCAAAGGATGAGAAGAATGAACGATCAAAGCATAAATCTGTAGGTGACTCAAGCAGGCACAAACGGCATCATTCTCCGTCACCTGGTGGTAAGGCGAGGAGCAGCAAGGACAACTCATCTCTTAGCCATGCTCATGCTTCAAGTGATAGTTCTTCCGATGACTCAAGAAGGTTCTTCATCAATAATCCTTAATTCCTTATACCATCGACTCTGGTCCGTGTTGAATGTTAAATTACTCACTTGAATCGCTTCTTGCAGGAAGGTGTATTCTAAAAGACGCGATTTATCACCGTCGCCTGTCAGGTCAAGAAGGTACTTGATTTTGCTATTTTCTTTCACTATCTTGTTAACATATCCATCGAAAGATCATATTATTGTATTCTGCTCAGGCATGTGGCTAGTGTATCTAACTATTTTCGTTTTTACATCATTAATCTTGTCCATCACTAATTTTTTGTATTTCATACCAGACAAATCATTTCTAACTTCATATGGGCACTAGGTATTTATCATAATCTTAAAAAACTTGTTTCTACCTGATATGCTGTTCTTGTCTTACTTTGTTATGTTCGCATATATTTTATTAGGAACGGCACAAAAATATGCAGGTATATGTGTGCTCACAATATGAATAATCATTAGGCATTTGCATATCATTTACGACACTGTTTTATTTGGTCTTCTGCTAGTCATCACAAACTATTGCAATATCGTAATGTGTAAAAGGTATACGCCATTGGTCAAATTATTTGTGTGAGCAGTACTCCCCCAGGGGTGACATATTTAGTTTAGGACAATCTGAAACAATTAAGTCTAAAGATTAAGGGTGCGTTTGGTACAGTGGACAGAACAGAACATGGATCACTATTCCATTTTTTTGCAGGATTTTTATGTGGTACTACAGGAACAGAGTGGAGCAGGCGTGTGTTCCACTCCCACCCGGTGGAACAAACCTATATTTTACCAATATAACTTCAAAATAAAACTTAATTCTCTTCTAAAAAATCAAATATGCCTTCCTCTTTACATTTTTATTCATTCTTTAAAATTTATTTATTGTATTTTATGCTCTTTAGACTTTCATTTTACTCTCAATATTATTTTTATATGGTTTCTATATTTTGATTAATTTATGTAATTTATTAAAAAATAATTAAAAATAATAATATACAAAAGGTATGAAATAAAAATTGGAAACTGCATAAACTTTTTATTTTTGGGTCATTTTAATCGTCTTGACAAACTTTCTAATGATATGTTTTGTTATAATTTTTTTTTTGTTATAACTTAATAAGTTACTTAAATTAACCAAAATATATAAACAGCTCATTAGGGGTAAATTGGTCATTTTATCTATTCTGTCCTGTCCAGTTCTGTCTTCCAAATGCTGAACCTGGATACTAGACGCACCCTGAACATACAGAAGAAAATAAAGGCCACTTGCTTTCCATAAGATTCTGAATTTCTCCTCCTTCCATGCTGCTTCATCTAAAGATCTGAAATCTACTTCATAAATCATCTATGACGTCCGGTTCCACAAGCACGACAAGCTCTTTACTATTGCGGTTGGATATGCCAATCAATTTTTGCAGATGATGTTATATGAATCTTACTAATTAAGAGTTTATAGTTGAATATTAACTTTTTGCATCAAGGGGGAACAGATGGGGGAATGGAACACATGACCTCCAAGTAATTACTGTTTTACCCCAACAGGGACAAGCGGAATACCATTCAAGCAAACTGGAATATTAACTTTTTGCATCCAGTGAACTTTGATGCGCTCTTTTGAGGTTTATCTTTCAGTTATTTTAAATTACATCGAAGTGACAGCAAACTGGAAGCAATCATATGGACTATTGCTAACACTTGAATGACCTAGTCTTTTACATCTTGGGTTTTAGAGCTCCAATTGGGGTTTTGTCAAAATCATTTGTAGGAGTGTTCAGCCAATTAAATATTACTCCCTCCGTCCCAAAATAAATGTCCACAATGAAGAAGGCAATTAACTAACTAAATGACAAATGCACCCTTAATAGTTAATAGTAGAGAGTAAGGCCCTAATGCTTTAGCAGCTTAATGAGCTTAATAGGACTCGCAGCTTATTGTGTCAGCTAATACATGACTGTTTGGTAGTGGCGTAATGATATAGAGAGTGGCTTATTCAGTAAGCTTTTAGGGGGAGCTTTATGCAGAACGCCAAGCTTTTTCTAGACCTGCCTTCTAATTAAAAAGCACACTCCTTCCATCTATGAAAAAACCCTCGCAAACAAAAACCTTTCCAATTTATACAGTCAAATTACTTCACACAAACAACTTTATCCATACAGGATTTAATGGAAAACCAACCAAACAGTCCCTAAGAGCGCATCTTCAACAACTATTTTTAGAAATTTTGGACATTTGGAAAAAGTTTACTCCAACAGCTATGTTAAACTCTTCTCTAAAATAGAGAAGAAAAATAGAAGAGAGAGAGAGAGAGAGAGAGAAGAAATCTCCAAATTTGGAAGAAGAAAGATAAAATATAGCATACCTGTTGGAGATGCTCCTAGAGTTTCTCCATTTCATATTTAAGGGTAGAATTGGAAAGTAGACATGGACACTTACTTTGGGACAAACTAAAATAGAAATATGGACTCTTATTTTGGGACAGTTGGAGTATTAACTAATGTTTTGGAGGAAAATTTTTGGCCTGCCTACGGTTGTTTTTTGTAATGTGGCAGTTCTTATAGCTTGCATGTGTGGATTCGTTTGTTTTGGTTTTACATTTGAGTGTTCATCTATATATTGATGACATTATATTTGTGAAAAGGGTATAAAAACAGAAAGCTAACAATAACAGGGCAGTTGCCATAGAATTTGATCATATTAGATTAACTCACTGGTTTAGCATGGGATGTTTGATTTCTAGACAAGTGTCAAGGTCTCCACCTAGCAAGCGTTCTCAGCACAGGCATTCTCTCTATTCTTCTCTTGAAACTACCAGGTATGTTAAATGTGCCAGTTTTCATGATTCTAATTTCGTAGCATAATGTTTTACCAAAAGTAATAACCGGGTGTAGGGGTGTGCATCGGGCGTGGCGGGCGGGTTCGGGTGGGCAAACCAGAAATCCGATCGAATTTCGGGTATGGAAACCAAGCCCGGTTTCGGATGCTCTGGATTCGGGTTGGTCGGGTTTCGGGTTGAGGTTGGTCGGGTTCGGGTATAGTCATAATGCAATATATATTCAGTCTATTTTGAGGATGAATTCAATTGATTGACTAGGATTTAAGATTTCAAAAGATAATTAGATAAATAAATATATTTATGTAAGATTTGAGATATATATATATATATATATATATATATAAATATTTTGGGTTTTCAGACGGGTCGGGTGGCCAAAAATCAAACCCAACCCGAATCCAAATATCCCCCCAAAAGTAGGGTTTTGGATTTTTGGGTTTTGCACAAATACCTTATTTTCAGTTTGAGTTCGGGTTTGGATTTCAGACCATTCGGGTTCTGCACACCCCTAACCGGGTGTCATACATAACGTCAAACATCTTGATTCTATGATCTCTTTGGCTTACAAACTGATCTGTTTTTTATACAGGGAAAGACGGAGATCAAGATCCAGGTCTCGAAGAGGATAGTGCTGAGGTTGAGGTCATTCTACACATTTCTGTCTTTGCCTATTTTCCGACATCCTCCAAGGGTTGAGCATTTTCCGACTAATCCTAGATTCTGGTGCCTGCGATGCCGCCGCCGGCCATCGTTGCAGATTAGAGACCCGCCGAGTGTAAAAAGGAGACAATGAACAGGTGTTGTAATATGCAAGTTTTTTCTTTGAACTATGGTGAGGCTAGTTTTATACCATCTTCATTTTGGAACAAGTTTTTATGAATTGTGTTTTTCAAACTGGGTACTCATTTTATCATCCAATGATGTATGTCTTTTACATGTTTTGTATGTGAAAATGTGTTTCTTATTTTTAGAGTAAATTACGTTTTCGTCCCTGTGGTTTATTAAAGATTGTGATTTTCGTCCCTATAGTTTAGAAATTGCTTTTTTCGTCCCTATGGTTTGTAATTTATTGCTATTTTTGTTTTTTATTGTTTACAATTCTTTATTGTTTTGGTCCCTCGTACTTAAAGGTAGGAATTTATCCAGGGATGAAAATAGTAATAACTTGTAAAATATAGGGATGAAAATGGCAATTTCTAAACTACAAGGATAAAAATTAATATTATATTCAGATTCTATATTTTGAAGATCACAACATTAATTATAGAGTAAATTATGCTTTTCGTCCTTGTGGTTTGCTAAAAATTTCAGATTTCATCCTTGTGGTTTCAATATTTAGTTTTTATCTCTATGGTTTGTAATTCATTTTATATTTCGTCTTTAAGGCCAAAACACTATTTTTAAGTATGAATGATTAAAATAGAAATGAATTGTAAACCATAGGGACCAAAAAAGTAATAAATTTTAAATCATAAGGACGACAAAAGAAATGAAAATTATAAATCATAGGGATGAAAATTGTAATTTCAAAACCATAAAAACGAAAACATAAATTTTCAACAAATCACAGGGATTGAAAATGTAATTTACTCTTAATGGTATTATTTTTCTATTTGTAAACATTCAAAATCAAGAATTTTACGGAATATATTAAAAATTCTCTCTCTCATGATAATCATTTTTTTGGAGTTACCCAAGTATGGAGAATATCACTTAGTCTTTCGTTCTTTTTTCATTATAGATTTTTTTTGAGAATATGTTAGAACGAAAATTTGTCCGAACTCGTTATTTTCCAATTTTGGAAAATGTGTGTAAAGATGCTCAAACGGATCATCCAAATCATAATTGTCATAATGACCATTTTATATTGTGACATGGTACAGTTGTGGCATGAGATATTTTATTAATTAACAGTTATTCACATAAGAACTTCCTGCAATTTATATTTTTGTCATGTCATGTCAGCTTATCAAATGCAAGACAGACAATTTATCCAGTCTTATTATAGTCGTACAAAATATAAGACCGACAACTACTGTATGGAACTACAGTCTGTGTACTATGTGAACAACAATAACTTTATTTTAAAAATAATGATAAAAGATAAAAACCAAAGAGTCATGGGTGAAGTTGTGACATTTTATAAAGTATGGGGTGTCAAAAAAATTTAGGGGGTAAAATAGAAAATATTACCATATTCAAAATTATATAAGAAAATGGTGGAAGAAGGTTTGACCCGGTGACTTTAGTGGGTGGTGACGGTCACTCAACGTCAAGTCTCACATGTCTCTTGCTCCTCCACCCACGCCTTTTCCGGCGGCTCTGCTGGTGGATTTCTCACCGAATAACCTTCACTTTTCCGTTAAATTTCCTCTTTTCTACACATTTTTCGACACTTTAAAACCCTACTTTTCCATGAAATTGGAGGTCCATTCTCCCCTTTTATACAACAAAGCCGATTTCAGAACCCTAATTTGAATCCCTAGATACTTGATCAATACAAATGTTCCAATTAATTCTTGGTTTTGATCTATTGATGGTTTGATTTGTCTTATTTTTTGGTTTCAAAAATGGTAAATTATCATTTGCAGGCAGTAAAAATTGGATTATTGTTGGTTTGGCTATGTGGGTTTGTCTTAATTACAATCTCCTTTTATGCTACTACTCACATATTGCCTTCTTCTTCTTCCATTAAAGAGCATATCAAGAATCTTAATGGTTCAGAGGGTCCTACTGTTACAATATTTGCAGCTGTTAGGCCTTTTAGTGGTTCAATTGGGAGTAGACAGGTGTTAGCTATTAGATCATGGCTTGGTTTATCACTTGACATAAGGGTTGTTCTTTTTGGCCAAGACCCTTCTCTTTTCTCTTTTGCAGGTTCTTTTGGACCTGGTTCTAGGGTTTCTGTTGAACCCACCATTGATTTCACGTAAGCCCTTTTGAATTCAGCTAAAGTTTTCATATATATATATATATATATGCACATGTGCAGGTTATGGCCAGGTTACAGGGAAAAACCATAAAAAGAATGAAAAACTAAAGAACACCCTAGTTAGAGGCATATGTGCATACAAGTAGTTTGTAAGTAAATTTTCCATGCACGTGTGCATAACATATACACATACATAGAACCAGGAAGCATCTTCAATTACTTGTACACACATGTGCATACCGTGTAGATGAGCGGTTATTAGGATGTTCCGTAGTTTTTCATTTTTTGGGGTTCCCCTGAACCTCACTCCCTCTCTCTCTCTCTCTCTCTCTATATATATATATATATATATATATATATGCTAATTCAGGTTCAAAGGGAAAACCATAAAAAATGGAAACATGAGAACACCCTAATAACCATTCATATGTTTCCTGGTTTCTTTGCACGTGTGCATTTTGTGCACATGTGCATATACCGGACAAGTTACTTTTATGCACATGTATATAATGTAAAGATGAATGGTTATTAGGGTGTTCCTCAGTTTTCCATCTTGTTGTGGTTTTCACCTAAACCTGATCCTATATATATATATATATATATCAACTATTATAACTTGTTCATGTATGGTTGTATGAATCTGAGATAAATCTTTAAGTTACACTTGAGGTAGTAACTGTTAGATGTATGATTCTATGATATCAAGTAATAGGACATTTCACATTTTTTCTTTATCATTGTTTAGATTTTTAGGTACTCCATTCTTTCATTCAATGGTTGCAAGAGCACAAACATCAGATTCCGATATATCTGTTTTGATGGATTCTGAAACCATTCTTTTGCCGGACTTCTTTTCAACGTTGAGCTATGTTCATAGACTCGACCATGACTGGCTCGTAATTGCTTCACCAAAAAATGTATCAGAATTCCCATTTCAATTGGATATAGACGGAAAACATTGGCTAGGGAACAACGGTAAAAGAATTAAAACGAAAAAGGTAGCAAGATAGTGGCATACAGCTTCTTAAGTAAACAACCAATTTTATTATTATATGAACATCTTTTAAATCTCGATTATTTTTAATCAGTTGCAGGACTTTCTTTCTCATGGGTCGTGGGAACATTGTGATGACAAGAAGACGATTATGGCATGGAATAACGGAGATCTTCCTTTGCATAACGGAGTTCTTCCCCCATTTTTGTATGGGAAAGGTTTTCACAACTTTTGGGTCGTTAATGAGGCTTTGTCCTCTGATTTTAGATTTGTATTTGATGCCAGTTGGACCGTCTCAAGTTTCTTTATTAATGATCTTGATGGTGGCAACAATATAGAATCAAGAAATTGGGAGAATGTGGGAAATTCTCATTTGGGTGCTTTATATGGATCGTTATTCTTCCGTGAAGCCGGTTACTCCAACATGGTCAAACTTTTCAAATGTGGCGGTCACTACCATTTCGGAAGTACTAAAGAGAACATTGTTTACCCATTAGGATCGCCTAAAGGATTAAGCTTTAATGATTTAGGGGTATTTAGATTCACGAAATATACAAAACTTTTGAGTTGTTTTGATAAAATGAAGTCACTAGCGGGAAATGTAGGCTGTTCAAGAAAGAACCAATTGACGTCATTAGAGCCACTAGCCCTTCCATATTCTTTAGAGCTTCTCCTATCCAAACGTGCTGACCAGAATAAGACGATTGTGCTAGCAGTTGCGGGATATAGTTATAAAGATATGTTAATGAGTTGGGTATGTAGGTTACACCTCCTTCACGTCACAAACTTTGTGGTTTGTGCCCTTGATGATGAAATATACGACTTCTGTATCTTGCAGGTGAGCTTGTTTATGCTCATTTACTCAAAGTGTGGATCTTTTTATAACCCATCTCGGGTCCTTGGGTTAAATGGCCTTTTGTCAAGTTTTTTTTAAATCCATGACCTTCTGTCAAGTTTGAGAATATCACCGCTTAACAGAAGAATGCCACTTTCATACACAAGAATGCTTAGAAACCTGTCACAAGGTCATGGATTTGAAATCCACTCGTTAGGAGGTCATTTAGCTAAATAACCCATCTCTAAGGGGGCATTTAAGTATATAACCTTAAATGAGATTTTCATTATATCCATGACCTCCTGACCTATTAAAAGAAAAATGGCTTCATATTCATCAGAAGGTTATGGATTTAATTATAATCTTATTTAAGGTTATATATCTAAGTGGGTTCTTTTGTTAAATGGCCTTTTGTAGGTTTTTTTTTTTAAATCCATGACCTTTGACTAGTTAATTTGAGGATGCCACTACTTATCAGAAGAATATCGCTTTCATACACAAGAATGCCGAGAAACCTGTCAGAAAGTCATGGATTTGAAAACCACTTGCCAAGAGGTCATTTAGCTAAATAACTCATCTCTAAGGTTATATACTATCTAATTCGCGTTCTTTTTTCCCTTTAGGGATTGCCTGTTTTTAGAGATAGATTAGCTCCAACCAATATCAGCTATAATGACTGCCACTTTGGAACAAATTGCTTTCAAAGGGTAACTAAAGTGAAATCGAGAGTGGTTTTGCAAATACTGAAGCTGGGATATAACTTGCTAATGAGCGATGTCGATGTTTATTGGTTCAAGAATCCTTTGCCACTGCTTTCAGCTTTCGGTCCTGCAGTTTTCGTGGCTCAGTCCGATGAGTACAAAATCACAGGTTTATGTTCATAAGTTTTCATCTTTTCATCGTCTATAACAATTGCAATGATTATACTTTGGTTTCTAAGATCAAATGGGCTACTTTTCATATTAAAAATTTAGATGGATTTTGTTATGGGTCATTAAAAAAATCAAATTTTGATAGATTTTTCTAAATGCATGATCTTTTGATAGATTTTGAGGCTTTCTTGTGTTAGGAAGAGGCGTTCTTAAGTTTGTCAGAAGGTCATGCATTTAAAAAATTATGTTAGAAGGTTATTCTTCCAAGTAATCCTTCCTGTTTGGTTTGACATAATGTTTTTGAGGGATTTGGATCTCGTGCAAGGATTTGGAATTGGAAGAATTTGAAATCTTTGGTTTGTAGGATTCCTTATAAATAATTTACAAAAACGGTATAAAAATAGTTAGATTATCTTTTTATTAATTGATTATTACAAAACAAGTGTCTTTAAATATTTTAAAAACACTATTACAGACAAATCTTATGAAATCTTGTGAAATACCGACTACCCCCATGGGATTTTTAAATCTCAGGTTTGTGGGATTTCAATGAAATCTCGGGATTTCAAATCCTAGCATTCCTTCAAACCAAAAATAGGATTGGAATTGAATCCAATTCCAAATCCGGCAAACCAAATGGTTGCTAACAACATACTTTAACTCCTCGCTATAGTAGACACCAAGAAATTCCCCATGGTGCTATCTAATCGTCTCTAGTTTATGGCCCTATCATGCCATGGTGGCATATCAGTAAGCAATTGAGGGACGGCGAATGCCTACCCTTAGAATAAACCCTGACTCAGCGTCACAGGTTCTCCAGGTCCGAAGGGATCCAGACGAATGTGCTAAGCCAATGCGTAAGTGGTTTATTTAGGATATCCATCCATGGAAGTTGTACCGATGAACTGACCTTAGTTGAAGTTGATATTTAGTGTGGTTGACCTCAAGAGTCAAATTAGGCCACTGGAGAGGGAGTAGGGGTGTAAATGAGTCGAGCTTTTAACGAGCTACTTGAGCTTGAGCTCGTTTATCTCGAGCTCAAGCTTAATAATTATTGAGCACGAAGTCGACCTCGAACATAAAATAGAACTCGATTGACTTAGCGAGTCGAGCTTTATAAAACCAATGTTTGACTCGGCTCGTTCTAAAGCTCGATTAAATTTTTCGAGTCGAGTGGAGCCGTTCGAGCATATACTTTTTCGAGCCCAGCATACTCCATCATATGTTCAAAAATAATACATTAAAAATATAAAAATTAGCAACCTCGAGCCAATAAACGAGTTAATCGATCGCGAGTACGAGCCCATAAACAAGCATCGAGCTCGAGCTTGATAACTGAAAAAGTATTCGAGCTTGAGCCCTACTCTGCTTTCTACTTTCTAATATCCGAGTCTCTAATTACTCTTATCTTGTGTAGGGCCAATAAATTTGCCACGACGCCTAAACTCCGGCTTTTACTACGCTCACTCCGATGGTTCAACAATTGCTGCTTTGGATAAGGTAGTAAAGCATGCATCTTTATCAAATCTTTCGGAACAACCAAGTTTTTATGATACGTTGTGTGGGTCGAACGGATCCTACCGTGTAGGTGACGACATGTGTCTAGAACCCGAAACAAATCTTACTGTCCGTTTCTTGGATAGAAACCTCTTTCCAAACGGGGCCTACCAAGACCTATGGGACTCGAGTAATGTTTCGTTAACGTGCATGGAAAAGGGTTGTTTTGTGCTTCATAATAACTGGATCAACGGGAGACAAAAGAAGCTCAAACGCCAGGTGTCATCGGGCCTTTGGGAGTACGATATGAGCACGAGGATGTGTTGGCAGAGCTGGCAAAGATCCAAATCCATAAGTTATTTCTAAAGAATTACGGTTTTTCTTCGTGGGATGTATGAAAAAGATCGCTGTTGAAATGGTTGATGTTTACAAAGAGGACAGTAGATGCCGAACAACAAGGAGTTGCTAAAACTTCGGTTTTATCAAATGGGCCGGCCTTAGAAAAGCTAATAAGAAGAAAAACCAAAGATAAAGACATGTTTTTGTCGGTTTTTAGTGGGTTATAATGGTTGAAATCAGTATCAAACGGGACTTTAGTTTCTTGAAATGCTTAAGGAGTGTATAGGTTCACTCTTCGGAGTCCAATCATCGAATGGGGGGTCAAGAAAACCGAAAGAGGTAAAAGATGCTTCCTTTTCTGTTGGGAATAGTCTGAATTCGAAGGAATTTTGTGTCAGAGTTGTTCATGCGGGTGGACGGGAAGATCTTTATCGAAATCCAGTTGCGGTTTCTCACTTGATGAAGAAATATCCGGGTATGTCCGTTGCTCGGCCGGAGGTTTTCAAGAATCCTCATGAAGCTGTTTTATCAGCACGGGCTATGCTCTTGCCCGGTCAAAAGTACTATTTAGTCCCTGTCACGACCTTAAAGAAGCTGAAAAAGAAACATTCCGCCAAGAAGAACAAATCAATGGGAAAAAAGGGTCAAACTGTTGCTCCGGATGAGTCTGATGATTCTATCTGTTCAGCAAAAGATTACTATGTTTCCAAGGAGAAGTGGTCGAGACGCGTAGTTAATAAACATATACAGTTAAACCGACAACTCGTGCCACCGGTCGTGAAGTCAAAATCGTGGCGCGGGTCTGACTGGGAGCCGAGTCTAACGTCCATCCAAGAACTCTCTCCGTGAGCAATCGTCTTGAAACCACATGAAACCGGTATGTAGGTTATCTGTTATTGCTGAATTTCACATCTTCGTTTTTGAAAGTTAAACTGCAAAATGATATTATTCCAGTTGCTTTTGCAATGTAACCGTGATCTTTGTTCTAGTTTATGGCATTTTACGTTATTGGAATATGTTATTATGGTAAGATTCCACATTGGTTGCCGAAGGGAACAAAGGTTGCCGACTAAGGAGTTGTCTGGCAGTTGTTGAATGGTTTGATGAAGAATGATTAAGAGGCTCTTATAATATAGTGCAAAATGAAATATAATTGTTTGGTACTTGTTCAGAATGAAATTAGGGTGTTGAATGGTTAAGAGAGGCCCAAGATACAAAATCATTCAGAGGGTTTTAGAATCATTAAGAGACAGATTTTTTTTTTGCCGAACAAGATTCACCTCTTAGCGATTCAGAGGTTGCCTCTTAATAGAGCTATTAAGAGGTAAACAAACACCCCCTAAATATCTTTTCTATCAGACACGTTTTTAAACCATGAGTCTAGGTGTGGACAAAGTAGATAATATCTCGTACGGTTAGCCTTGGATGTTATAGATGGTATCAGAGTCGGGAACTGGTGTCAACGAGGACGTTGGGCTCCCACGGGGTGGATTGTAAGATCCCAAATCGGTTGGGGAGGGAAACAAAGGTTGCCTTATAAGGATGCTTGAGATGTTACAGATGGTATTGGAGCCGGGAACCGGTCTGGTGTGCCAACGAGGACGTTGGGCTCCCACGGGGGTTGGATTATAAGATTCCACATCGATTGAGGAGGGAAACAACCTTACAAGGGATCGGATACCTCCTCTATGAGGCGCTTTTTAAAACCTTGAGTCTAGGTGTGGACAAAACGAGCAATATCTGGTATGGTTAGCCTGTGATGTTACAATTATACTTGTTTTCATGGTCAAAACTTGGAAAAAACTGATAAAGGCTGCTCCTTTCTTACTGGGAATTCTTGGATTTGTGTCATGTAAATGGAAAAGAAAAGATTCACATATAATGGATTATTTGCAAAATGGAAAGGAAAGACTCTGAAGACTTCTTGAATTAGGGTTCAAGACGTGGGACAAGCCTTTAAGGGAAAACTAAAAAAAATGGAAAACTGAGTAACACTTTAATAACCATTCATTTGTACGGTATGCTCATGTGCATAAAAGTAATTGAAAACGTTTCCTGGTTTCTATGCACATGTGCATACCGCACAAATTACTTTTATGCACATATGCATACCGTACAAATGAATGGTTATTAGGGTGTTCCTTGGTTTTTCATTTTTTTTTTTTTTTGCTTTTCCGTGAACTTGACCCTTAATAGGAATTATGAGAAAGATAAGATTGACTTGTAAGAAGAAAAAAATAAATAGATGCCAAACATTGAAACAATGAGTTCCAATTTGAGGTAATCTTTGATCATATCAAATAAAAGATGAGTGATTAGCGTTTTATAGAGCCTCCAAATGGTTCGAATTCGAATCTTTTTCGACTTACACTCAAAAAATATGTGCCAAGAACCTGGTCAAGATCCATGTGTAGATCACAGCAAAAATGGCACCAACCGGAATCGTTACTACCCATGAAGTAACAATTTCCCTCACGGTTTCTGCTCTCACACTATTAAGCCCTCTAGCAAACCCGACTCCCATAACCGCACCGACTAGGGTATGAGTAGCCGAGATAGGTAGTCCAAGCTTTGATGCGAATAGTACAACAGAAGCAGCGGCAAATTCGGCTGCAAATCCTCTTGTAGGAGTTAACTCCGTGATCTTTTTACCAATTGTAGCTATCACTCTATACCCCCACATCATAAGCCCCGCAACAATCCCAAATCCGCCCCAAGCAAGAACATCCATAGGAATAACAATTTCGCCCCCGGTGGCCGCCCCTTGTAATATAGAAAGAGCTGCAGCCAAAGGGCCTATGGCATTTGAGACGTCATTTCCACCATGGGCAAATGACATGAAGCAGGCGGATAAAATCTGCATGTACCCAAACACACCGTAAACTATCTCAAGTTGAGTGCCTGTAGGGCCCGCGATATCTGATAGAAACCCGATACCTTTAGGATTTAGCTCTTCGTGTGGCTCTTGTTGTGTCGACTTTGACTTGGCTAGGAGGTGGCCGAGCTGTTTGCGGATGATGTTGTTGACTATGAACGCACCTAGCACACCACATCCTAAAGATTGGGCAATTGCTATAGGGAGTGTCGTACTAAGAGGAAAAGCGGCCAAAGTTATTGCGGTGACACCCACGAAAACCGCAATTGGTGCCGCTGCAGCTGCTGCTTGTCCTGGGTTCGGAGCACTGTAAACAAACTAAATATAGTATAATGGGTTAGTTAGGAATACATACATATATATATATATATATATATATATATAATGCTCAAAATAAAATCCTAAAAGTATCCACAATTCTTTCATCCGCCTACGTCACTTTTGCCTCTCCAATCCCATCCAGTTCAATCCGCATACCAAACTCACCCTTAGGACAAGACATGACAAAACAATTGTTCAGCATTTGGTAAGATAGAACTGGACAGGACAGAACATGTAAGATGACCAATATACCCTTAATGAGTTGTTTATATCTTTTATGTGTTTTGATTGATTTATGTAATTTATTAAGTTATAATTAAATAAATATTTTTATAACAAAATATATCATTAGAAAGTTTTTGTCAAGACGATTAAAGTGACACCAAAATAAAAAGTTTATGTAGTTTCCAATTTTTAATTTATACATTTTTTATAATTATTAATATTTAATAAGTTACATAAATTAACCAAAATATAGAAACCGTATAAAACCATTATTTTGTGGACAGTAGAGTGAAAGTTTAAAGAGCATAAAATAATAAATAAAATTTAAAGAATGAATAAAAGTAAAAAGGGAGATGTATTTGATGTTTTATAAGAGAATTAAATTTTATTTTGAGGTTATATTGGTAAAATATAGTTTTGTTCCACCTTCTTACATGGGGTGGGGGTGGAACACACCTGTTCCACTATGTTCCACATAAAAGTACTGTCAAACATGGAATAGTGATCCCTATTATGTTCTACTATGTCCAGTGTACTAAATGCACCTACATTTCAACTAAATGTCCAAGATTCAAATATACACCAAGACAATCGTAAAGTCACCTGAAAGCCTGCATTTGGGACATCATATAATACACAACCAAACAATGCATCCACGATAGTTGCAGAGATGCAACCTTCAGGGTCAGCTCAACTGACAAATAAATGCTAGGCCTTGGGGCTCCTCCCCATAGGTCGCCAGTTCAGGTCTCCTCACCGCCTCTGGAGATTTTCCTGGCTATTATCTTCAGGGCCCCATGGGATTAGTCGAGGTGTCCACAAGCTAGCCCTGATGCTCATAGTTCCCAGAAAAAGACAGTTGTAGGGGGTGCATTCATTCTAACTAGATGTCCAAGATTCAGGCTTTCCATATTTGCATTGCATCAAAAGTTATATACGTACATGATACTAACTATAACCAAGAAAAATGGTATCAGATACTCTCTAGGATGCTTTGGTAGGTTGTACGTACCCTTCGAATGCATTTGTACACGAGGAAGGAGACGGCTGCACCCACAACAGGGGATATAACCCAAGATGACGTCACCCTCGCTATTGAGCTCCAGAAAACTGCACCAGGTCCTCCGTAGACGAGTCCAAACCCAACCATGGATCCTACAATACAATGTGTAGTCGAGACGGGCCAACCATAAAATGATGCAACCTGAGCAAAGATCCCAAAAGTCAACATTTTTCTGTTAGAAAAGGTCAAATGCAGTTCCCTGGTTTATGTTTAAGGATTCTTTTCTTTTTGGGAATAAAGGGTTCTTTAGGACTATCCTAGACCGAATTATCTTGCTTTAGGAATGGTTTTTCATAGTCTAAATGTTTAATCAATCTAGTATCAGAAGGGGAAGAGTAAGGGACTTGCAGCATCCTTATCTACTTTGTGCTTGAAGAGTACCGTGTTTGGAGGGAGGATCACATGTGATTACGGAACAGTGTCAAAGTAAGAAAACACTAAAACGGCCAAATCACATGTGAATTTGCATTGAAATCATATGCGATTAAGGAACACAAACAACGCAAGGGTGAGTAGGCGACTTGGCCCGTGACCTGTCACGTTAATCACATGTGATTTTAGTGTAAAATCACATGTGATTGTTATCTTATTTGGTTAATGTTCTCGTTTGAACCCCCACTCATCATGTTTGTCCTTAAAAGACAATAGTATTTAGGAAAATACGTGGAACTCCTTCAAATTACTCTTCAAAAGTGCCTTTAAAGAGAGAAAGTAGGTTCCAACATACATGGATGAAAAATGGTCCAATTATAGATGATGTGGGACTTGAACATGCCCCCTCCAACAGAGAGGCTAGACGGGTGCAAATTGCCTCAAGAGTGTAGGGGGCTAGGCAGACACTGGATTCCAGAGTGTCAAATTTCTTTGGCTTTGATACCATATAAGAATATATTATATCGCTCTACAAAAGAGTCACTGAAGAGAGAAAAGGGATTCCAACATATATAGAAACGAAATGGTCCAAGTCTAGCTGATATAGGACTCCAAGAGTATTTAACTAGAAAGGAGCAAAAAGGAAGAGTAATCATTACCTGTAACCAAGTACCAGCAGCCGCCAAGGATGATAACAAACCCGCAAAAAGCAGAGTATCCTTCCCTTGAAAAACATTAGCAACAAGAATCCCTTTCTGCATTGTGCTAGTCACATGTCTTCCCATCAACAACGCCCCCGAAAATTCCAACACCGCGGCTGTCAGCACCGCCTGCCGGAGTGACAAAGCGCCCGACCCAACTGACGTCCCCATGGCATTCGCCACATCGTTAGCCCCAATATTCCAAGCCATAAAAAACCCAAACAAAAGGGTAGCATATGACAACAATTTAATCTTTAAACCCATCCCTTGAGCCAAAGACTTCATAAAGAATGGTAAAGCCAAAGCTGCCACAGCTATACAAATAGAAATAGCAGAAGCTGTGCTAGAAGATATGTGAAAAGCCTGAGCCATACCAGGCAGATCACCTTCTTCTTTAACAGTTTCTTGAGTCTGACTCGATTCAGACCCTTCTTCGCCATCTTGGTTTTCGGCGAAAGAGGATAAAGAAGCAAAAGGGTGTATGGGTTTATGGTAGTGTTTGGGGTTCAGAAGTGAAACAGAGGATTTGGGTATTTTCAGAATGAAATCTTTCTTGGGTTCATAAGTGAAAACAGAGTGATTTCTGTGTTTTGGTAGATAAAGATTGGAGTTAAGAAACAAGAAATTTGAATGTGTGATTGGGTTTCTAGTGGAAGAAAAACAGTAAGAAGAGGTAGTCATGGCTTAATGGATAACTTTGTGGGAATATGCTGATTGTTGAAGAAGAATCTATTCAGCCAGTGGCCATGGAGGGAGGTGGTGGTGGTGGTGGTGGTGGTGGTGGTGGTGGCTGGAGGAATTGGAGATGATTTGTGTTTTCAAGTGGACATTGTGAGGTGGTTGTTGAATGTGGATTTTTGTTTGGATTTCTTGATTTGGATCCTTTTGGAATGGGTGGTGGTTGTGCAGCCTGGAGGCTGCACCACTCAAACACACTCCCACTGTTTTTTTCTTTTCTTTTTCTCAATTTCTATTTATACCCACATGGATTTGTAGTTCTACTTCTTTTATCCTCTACCAAATGGTTGACTTTTCAAACAATCATTTTTCAGATAATTGTGGGTAGGAGTGTTTATGGGTTGGGTTGATCAGGTTGAAGATATTTGAACAATCCAACCAAATGCTTGCAGTTTGCAAAAATCTTAATCTAACCCAACCCAACTCGTACGGGTTGGTCGGGTTGATAATTTGGTATATTAAAATATTCTTCTAACCTTGAATATGTTATTTCTCTATTCATAATTTCTTTTTCATCATCAACCATTTGATACAACTTATCCATATTTCTTACGTATATCATATTCAGTTAATTTTCTCAATTTACATATATATGTTCACAATTACTGAACGTATATATGAATAGATTGAAAATATGTGTATATGAAAAGTATATGGGTGAATTTGTGCGTATCTCAATTAATTAGTTTACAGTCTGTAAAACCTTCAGTGACCTTAAGAAAACTGAAACGGGTGAATCAGATGATACTTTCGGGATCTTGATGTAAAATACAATATTTTCATTTTTTATATATTAGTTTCAAGCGAAAATGACTAATCTACTCTAATTGTTGTCATTCTTTATTTCTTTTTGGATAATCTTGTATTAATCGTAATGGCAATTCTGTTTCTTTTCAACACATGTTGAACGACAAGAATGTGTTGCGAGCAAAACGAATGGGGTGCGCTTCGGAAGAAACGATCTGTTATCGAGCCGTCTTATTGGGAATAACAAGAGCATCTATGAATACTGTGTTTTTTATGACACAAATAATCTTATCCAAACAAAATTAAGTTTTTATGAGTTTTTTTATTGGGAAATTGATATTTATGCAATGGATCTTTTGGAATCATTTCTTGTTCTCTTTGGTCCATTGCAAGTTTGCAACCATTAGGCTTGAGATCCAAAATAGTTGCTAACACAAAGGCCCATTATATGTTATGATGGGTATTTTTGGTATTTTACACATGCTCATGTAAATGTGTTTTTGGTCCATATGTTATCACTAATCACTCAATCAACACAAAGTTGAGCTTATGTTATAATAAATTAAAAAACCAAAGTAAGGTAATACAGTAAATTTCATACAGAGGTAGGGTTTGAGCGTACAACAAACAAATGACATAGTAGATACTGATGTTTTAATAAACTGTATCTCATAACGAAATTTGTATGTTGTTTTATACCTGTAAAAAGGTCCAGTATATGGGGTTCGAGTGTTTATTAACTACCATTGATTGAAACGTTAGTGAATATGCTCGTAGTGTCATCTTTAGTAAGACGTCAACATGAAATCCAACCAATAATATCAAGCCACGTCATGTTATTGGTTTGAATTGTCGACAACAGACAATGCAACACTGTTATCTTATATTCGGGTTTGTGAGAGTGTCAGCATGTGATTTTATAACATATCAACGATTATGATTGATTTATTTCGCTATATCTCAAATTTGAGCCGTATAAGACATGATTCTTATACCATTGGTATGGTTTCATATAAGCTAATAACCATACATGCCATCTTAGCTCAAAAGTATTGCACACATCCTTGATAAATTTGAGTAGGGTAAATTACATGAAAAAAGTAACGTACTTTAACTTGATTCATATTTTAGATATAACTTCCATTTTGGTACCTAAGATGTAAAGTTGTAAGCATTTAAGTGCCCGGATAACCGGTTGAAACATTAACCGGTTATCGTACTGATGTGGTATCCAACTCAGTATTATTTGTTGACATAGTTAGCGATATGGATTTTTTTTAATCTAAACTTACTCTCCAACCGGTTACCCAGATATTTAAATATTAAAAACTTTACATCTTAGGTACCAAAATGAAAATTTTTGAAAGTATGTTACCAAAAATAAAAATCAAGTCAAAATACGTTATTTTTTCATGTAATTTGCTATTTGTATGTTTATAGATTGATTCATGGAGAAGCACATATTATATTATATCCAAGTGAAGGTCAAAAATGTCATCTTATCCACAAGGGTCTTCTTTTATTCCAATCTTTATCCTCTTTTAAATCATCAAACTTATCTTAAGATCAAGATCATATTTCCATTTGTACACAACTTGTACTTGATTGTTTTTCATATGTGGTTTAAGCACCTCAAGTCAACACCAAAAATCATGCAACTTATCGTGATGCATCTCAGACGTTTCACAAACTCGAATGTGTTAAACGTTTTAATAAACTGATTCAAATGTTCTTACGGAACAGTTGTTCTGTCTTTTTTTTATCCATCCACTTGGAATATTTCCAAATGCTTATCTCAAAGAGGACAAAGCAACAAAAAAAACAGTGACCCTACTGAATATGTATGATTATGGAAGAATGCAGCGTGCAATTTGATTCGGTAACGTGGGTGTAATCTTAAAAGATTATTATTTGATCTTATGATAGAAGTATACCGTCTTTTTGTATGCGGCAAAACAATCAAGTTGATGATCTCATGGCTTTTTTCTTCGGTTCTTGTTAGTTTTTTTATATTTATAAGTTACATGTATAACTGGTTACGTCAATCCAAGCAAACAGATAGAGATATGTATGGTAATATCAGTTTTCTGTATGGGAAATCTTTGTAGATCGGTATAAGTCACTGATATCTATTTTTGGTCGATGACATAGCAAAGTCCAGATAATTTTGCTTAGTTGGCTCTTGTTCATTGGTCCTAATTTATTTATGATAGGTTAAAGATTTTGGGTTTCAACGTGATTTTATTTTTATAAATTCTATTAAACAGTGAAAAATACAATTAATATAACGTGGTTCGATTTGGGTTCCAATTCAACGCTCAAACCAAACCGCATTGAACCATGATATTTATAATTTCCACGGATAAAAACCGAACTATAATATTCTAAAAGGCAAAACCGAAACAAACGTTTTAATTTGACCTGGTTCTGACAATCTAAACTTACACGTCTTCTGCAAGGACAAATTGCAATAAAATATAATCGACTATATATTCCATTATATTTTGGAAAACCAGCTTTTAAAATTTTTCATTTTCAAAAACTAACTTTTGTAAACTTTTATTTTGAAGAACAACTTTGTCACTAGGCATGACAGCGGGGCTGGGATGGGGCGAGTTTTGTAATCCCCAGCCCCGGTTTTTTGTAACAGCCCCCGGCCCAGGTCCTTGGCGGGTACGGGGATTAACATCTCGTTCCCGATCAAACCCCGGTCAAACCCTATGAAAAATATCTATTAGTTTGAGTCTACAGGGGATCCCCATCCCCAACCCTAGTTTGAGTAACAGCCCCCGACCCCGGTTTGAGTCTACCAGGGATCCCAGTCCCCGGGTCCGTTTTAGCAGGGAATCTCCGTCCCCGTTCAGGTCGGATGAACCAGGTTCCATACCGGGACGGGATAAATCATCATCCTTATTTGTCACAGGCCTTTTGAACAAGAAATTTGAAAGTTTGTTTTTTAAAATAATTATTTTAAATATTGGTTAATGTTTTGAAAGTTGATTCCTTAAATTAAAAATGAAAATAAATTTAATTTTCCCATTTATGTCCATATAATAATCAATAATGATTATAATAAATGGATTAAAATTATAATTAGCACAAATAATGGGATTTGGAGAAATTAATGCATATGACCTTCAAACAAGGGTTGGTGGGGTGGGGTGGGGT